CTGGGCTCTCTTGGTCTGTAATTTCTATCGCAGAACTTTTTTCCACAAAACTATGAGACAGGTTGTGGCTTCTGCTGGGAACATTTTAAATCCAGTGGAAAATCGTTGTGGCTTCACAGCTGCACTACCCTGCGAAAGCTCTGCCCTCGCAGATCGAAGGTCCAGCCCTGGAAGCTGCTGAAATACGGGTGGAGTTCCTGCATTTCTCTGTCTGCCCCGTCTTTCTGCACGCCCCGGGTTTCGCTCTGTTTCAGCCGTGCCCGCAGCAGGCGGCCATCCCGTCAGTGGCCGCTTCTCTCCTCGTTTTCTCCTGGGGAAGGCTGCGTGGCTGCCTTCGGGTGCAGTTCGGGTGCAGTTCTGCTCTGCTGATTTCTGCTCTCGTACCAGCGTTTCCTTTCTCACACGGCTGTTTTAGAAGTTTTCGTGTGCGGTGGCTGGTCATAGCCGGCTTTCGCAGCACTGAGAAGAAGATCACGAAGCGCAGTTACGGCGGTGCCTGGCTCTGCCCTGCCTGCCGCTGCAAGGCGAAAGGCACACACACCTTATGCACCTAAAAAGCCAAGAATTGATTGCTGTGCTGCCAGCGCAGACCAGCTGCTTCTTCTCTGTGTAAAACTATGGTTGTGCCACACACACAGATAAGCAAAAATAAAGCAAACTCAGCGGGTGGGCCACAGAAATCGCCGTCGCAGCGAGACCAAGCCGGTGCAGCCCGTTCGACCAGCCCCAGCCCTGAGGCCTGGCAGACTCGGTGCATAGCTGGGGGCCTGTGGCAGAGGGCGGCGATGCCATTGGCAACGGTGGGTTGCACGGGGCTGAGAAACGCCCTGCTGGGGACAGGAGCTCCTCCAGCGCAGATGGAAGTGTCCGGGAGAGCGGGATTGTTCTGGCAATGCTCTGCTGGGGAACGGTCCGCAGCTGGAATTGCATCCGTAAAGTTTGGCTCTTTCAGTACAGGTGTTCTTTTTTTTTTTTCTTTTTTTTTTTTTTAAAGCTGAAAGAGGCAAAAATGACGCCACCTCAGGTTTGTGCAAACGAGATGTTTTCCTCACCTTGAGAGGTGTCTTTGGTCAGCGCTGTTTATAAATAGCTGCCTGCGGCAGGAAGAACCCGCGGGTACTTTTTCCTTTTCCCTTTCCCAAGCCCAGCTGTGAGCTCTGCCTGCTCAAACATCCCCCTGGGGATGCGGCAGCATCCCGGCGGCTTCCAGGCTCCCAGTCACCGCCACGACCTGGGGGTGGCGGGCGTCCCCTCAGCTCCTGGGGACGGTCTGGGGGGGACTACCTGTGCGGGCAAATGCCTCCAAACAGGCGGGAGCAGCTCCCCCCTCACCAGCGATCCCTTCGGCCCCGTGCGCCGTGTTTCCCAGGAAGAAAGCAGCAGCCGACTGGCTTTTAACACTGTCAAAACTTGAACTGCCCTGCCTGTGCCTGCGGTTTGTGCCTAGCGTGCCCTTGCTGCATCACCCTGGCGTGTATTCCTGTTTTTCAGAGGGAACACGCTGCTCCTCCTGCAGGTGCCCTCTGAAGCTGAGCGTGGCCGGGGGAGCGTCGGGGCGGCAGCAGCATCCCTGCCTCGAGGACACTCGTTGGTGCTTGCACGGCTCTTCCCGGGGAACGCCTGTGTTTCTGCCTTTCCTTTCATCCCTCCTGCTGGGTGAAAAGTCAAAATTCTGAAATTTTCTGCAGCGAAGGAATCCCAAGGTAAGTTTTTTTCATAGACACAAGTCATTTACCTTGCTGACAAAATGTAAATGCTTGATTGTAGCTTGTTGCCACGATCCACGGGATTTTTTCTCTGGGTGCTCAAGCGAGATGTAATCCCTCCCTGCTGTGCGCGGCGGTGGGAATGTTTGCCTCCTGTGCCACCATGCCTGTCCCCCTGCCCCAGCTTTCGGGTGGCATTGCACCTCCCATGGCGACCCTGGGTCGTGCGGCTTCTGCTCTAGAGCTGCTGTGGTGACCGTGCGGGGTGTGCGTGCCGCCCTGGGCACGAGCTGCTCCCAGGAACCTGGGGCTGCAGCAGAAACTTCGGAGCAGAGAGTTAATGACAGAGGAGCCCACAGAGCCCTGCAGCCCCCCCGCAAACCCCCTGCAACCCCCCGCAGCCC